ACGACGCTGAGCTTTCAGGAAACGGCTAATGGCAATGCTCTTTCCATCTTCCCTGTGCTTTGAGAGCCTCAACAGCCATCATTAGCAAGTCTGCAAGCGCACCCTGAAACCTCTCAGGATTACGCCCCCTTCAGAGCAGAGATCAACTGCCCACATCCGCCTTCCCCTGCACTCCACACTCTTCATTGGTGAGAAGGTCAAAACAGGCATTGAAAACTCAAAGGGGTACTCTGCTGGACTTAATTTCGCTAATGAAGGCACATATAAAAATCTAAATTAATGTCTACAGCTTGATTACAAAGTCTCTGTCAGCAGAGAGTCTAAACGTTGTATTACTTCAGGACAGTAAAATAGCACGTTCAGAAAAAAAGAATACGTCATAAAACTTATTTTGAAAAGAACACATTGGTAGTCACTACCACAGGAAGCCACATTCCAGATCTGCGCACGCACACACACGCACACACGCACGCACACCCCTCTGGAACATTCTACTAGACTTACTGAACCATCGGATGCACTGGCTCCAACTTTGTCTCCCGCTGCATTCCAGCAAACCTCGAAGATTCCACCTGTTCCCCTGTAGCTGTGGACTAGAGCACCTGTCTAAAAAGGGACAGAATATTAAAATCATCGTACATGCACTACAAACCCAAACAATGGTAAGAAATGACACATGGCTTTATTTCTAGCAATCAAAGATGGGACTTCTTTTAGTTTCGGCTCCAAAATAAGGACAAGTTCTGAGAGGGGAGAAACGTGGAATGATCTACAAATGACCGCCCCGGACTGATAGTGAACGCTCTCCCCTGTCGATACCACTGTTAACTACGCTGTCCTCAGACGCAGCTCACCCCAGCCAGGGTGAATGTTCAGCATGACATGAAATAAACGTTTGCTGTTGGTGAAGGGTATAAGAGTTTAGTCAACGTGTAGAGAAACCAAATATATTCAGAATTTTTTTGCCAAGAGAGCCTAAAGAAATAGTATATGAAACCAGTTAAAAATAAATAAATAACTATAAGTCTACAATTTACTACGTATTTTCTGAATAGTTCCTAAGCTAGGCGCTAAAAAGAATAAGACATGTATGTTATTCTTAGAAGAGTTTATACATTTACAGGAAAAAATGTGGAAACACTAACAATTTCACCATTCA